CCAGCCTTGGGTTGTGGGGGTGGGGGGGGGATGGGGGGGGGGGGGGGCTAGACTGCCTGTGGGGAGCAAGTCAAGGGTTTTTAATGTAGATGGGTCACTGGGTTTGGTTCTACAGATGTATCATATGGCAGTCAGAGTGGTATAGACATATTTGGAAAGGTCTGTAATGAAATATGCAACCAAATTAAATTGAAACAAAAATGAAAAAGGACTTCATTTAAGTATCATTTTATATCTCTTTTATTTCTCTAATTTAGAAAGCTAGAAGCCAAAGCCAGGTCATAGCCACAAATAAATGCTTAGCTAGATCACAAAAAAGTCCATTTAATTCATCATTACTTAAATAGGATTGTGTAAAGAACACATCACTTTCTTAACTTATTTTTACTGCTGATTTGAATTTTATAGGAAAATATTTGTATTTGCAGAATATTATAAAAAAATAGAAGACTGTAGAAAAATTTCCAGTGTTATTTAGTTAATGAAACTGAAGTTGATAGCACAAAAGAAAGGAAACTGTTCTTCTTACCAATATATTAAGCCAAATGTAAATTTTGTAACTGACAAGGGACAGAAGTTCTATGTTTTTATCATCAGATTTCTGTAAATCTAAAATTGTGAAGCTGGAATTTTTTTAATGTTCTGTCTCTACACATTACAGACACACTGTAGTTCTGAACTGATATACTGAAAAATCTATAAATCTTTTTCTATTGAATTTTATCAACATATGGATATAGCTCTCCCAAGGTTATTCTGACTGAAACAGATAAGCAGGATAAAATCTTAAGTAACTGGAATCCATGGCAGTTTTCCCACTGAGTTCACTGGGGCAAACATTTCCCCCATAATCTTTTAAATGCAGAGATTACATGCAGCCCTGGCTGTAAAACTGTGTTAAGATCTCTGGAGTGGAGCTGGATGGATACTTTTCAGGGCAAATTCTCACGATTTGCATAACCAGAATGCCCTTCCTGAGTGATAGCAGCTCAGACCTCTGTAAAATCTGGAATGTTAGTGAATGCTGTGTTTTAAATAGTTAAATACTATGCATTTGCCTACTTCATAAATAGCTTACACTATATATTTTAATTTAACTGACTCTTAGAAGTGTTGCACAACTATAAAATGAATAATCAGTATCCATTATATTGTGTATACCTTGCAAACATACATACATACAATAAAAATATTACTAAGTTGGTAACAGAAAGTAATGCTGGTCTATGATTTAATTTCTTCCAGTTGCTTTAATTTTATTAACATTTGTCATATATTATCCAGTCATTTTTTTTCACTGTGAATGACTGTGTTCACCTCACTCATGGTAATCCACATGTCCTTGTATGTTACTCATTTCAGTTGCAATAGCTTGTTGTTTTTGCCTTTTTTTCTTGAAGTAGAAACATATTGCACATCCAGTTCCTACTAGAATAAGGACCAGAACACCTGCGAACCAATGGATGCTGGTGGAAGTGTGGTCGTGGATAACCGGACCGGTCACGGTGGGCCGAGGGTATACGAACAGGTGGGATTAGCGGCGGTTGAGTCTGAGTGGCACACAAGCTTATGGTTCCAACTAAAGGGGTTTATTTAACTTACGCTTTGATGGCGTAGGCAAGTTCTTCGGTTACAGTGTAAACAACAAAGGGGTCCTTTGGCCCATGGGGTTCTTAGGTGAGCCCTTGCTTTCTAACCCCGGAGGGCTAGGGGCGGCTGCTCAACCTAATAGTCCCAGGGTTGGTCAACGGCTCATAAACAGGACAGATAAACAAGGGAACTGTAACAAAACAAAGTCCAACGTGGACGAAAGCAGGCTGCAAGAGATGCCAAAGTCAATGGAAAACAGTGCCGAGGTCGATGCCGGAACGATGGGACGGACGGATGGTCGAGGATGAGGGCCGAGGTTGGAAGCCGTGGAATCAAGGTAAGTTCGGTTTGAGAGTCCATTAATCAGTATCAGAAATCGTAGTCGTAGCCGGTGCCAGGTAGATCGAACGCCAGAAAATCAATAGGAACGGATCGGAAAATCGCTATAGGAGGAGACCGATAGGCCGCAGAGCCTAACTGAGGGACAGACCCTGACAGCCAGCCTCTGTCCTCAGTTCAGCGGGTCTCTCCCCGAGGGAGGGGCTCCTTAACCTTTTATAAGAATTTAGTAGCCAATTGGAACGCTCCCCTCACAGAATTTTCTGGTCTGATTACGTCAGGCAGTCAGAGAACTGAGCATGCGTCTGACTGAGCTTTGTATCTAACTGAGCATGCGCATGGTGGAAAAGTAGGTCACGCTTGATTGACAGGCCCTCAGGTCACCCAGGGGGCACGTGCTGGGTGAGCCTTGGAATTTTCCACTCAAAGACTAAAGTGCGCATGCTAGCTTTTGACTCTTCTGTGTTGTCAGCACCCATAACTTAAGATTTTTCCGTGACAGGAAGATGTAAGAACACCTTTATCCATTTTTTCTCCTGCAAATACACAGAAACTGCTATACTTGTGGATGATATTAGAGATAGCAATATTCTGATAGTGATATCTCTAAACCAAAGTGATATCTGTAAGCATAATTCTACAGGAAGCATGTTAAACATAAATGTTTTAAATCCATAGAGATATTTTGCTAACAGAAACAAAAAAGGAAAAATAAAAGGTTATATTAAACCAATTTAACTTCATATTAAATCATTTTTCTGCATTTATATAAAAATAAGGATATTGTTTTTATTATTCAAGGAATGCTTTTAAAATAATTATACTGTCCCAAAACTCATTCTAAATAATTATGTTTTTATTCTATTTAGGAATTGCCTTAATTTTCTTTGAAGGAAATAAATCCTACCTTTATTCTTTGGTTGTTTTTCAGTAAGTCCAGCATCAATAACTCTCAAAAAGAAAACAAGTAAAATATTTATGCTGCATGCTCTCAAGTAGATTTACCATAAAATCCTGAAAGCCCCTTCTTCTACATTCTTCATGTTTTTTATGCCATTGCATAAGATGCGACTGAGAATGCATGAATTTCTAAATGGCTAATTCTGATAAGCATGTGAATATTTTCAAACAAGATATCTGGCAGGGAATCAGGTTCTTGCAGGTTTTCCAGTATTTCCCGTATCAGGCTCTGGTACTTAGAAATATATAGGCACTTTCTGAAAACATGATTTCTACTAGGCCTGTGTGAAGCAGCAAGTATTCACTTTGGATTTGGATTCGGCTGATTTGGAAGACAGTGATTTGGAGGACCGTGATTTGGATCTGAAGATCTGAAACACTGTCCTGACTTGATTCATCCAAATCATATCCGAAAGATTCAGCGCTGCTTCAGCTGGCTGGGCAAGCAGCAGCAGGGCAGAGGCTCCACTCCAAGCACTGCTGCACCTGCATCCCATGCCTCCTCCACCCCACTCCCCGAGTAACATGCCCCCCCACCCTGACTGGGCAGCTCTCCTCAGCCCCAGGCCCAATCCCTCCCTCACCCTTCCCCAACAGACTTACAAGCTGGAGGCAGCTATCAGTTGCTTGTTTACGTCTATGGCTGGATCTCAAAATCTTTTCTGCATTGATTCAAAGTTTTTAATTGTGTCTCCAGATTTGATTCAGGTTTGAAGATTTGGTCCCCGAATCAGACCAAATCTCCTCCAAATGGAATTGGCTACTGAAGCTTCGCACAGCCCTAATTTTCACTATCCAGATGATACATTCTAACACACTTCTCATTTTTGAAGGCTTTCCTTCATTCCACCTGAAAAAAGTCTACTACAGTTTTGTTTACTCATAACTACTGAGATAATGTTAAAAACACATTCAGAAAACACACTCAGGCAGGAGAACTGTGGCTTCAGTTGGGTGATAAATAAGGGATAGTTCCTTGCTTGTGATACCCAGGAGAAGGGACTTATAGGTTCATAGTTTCATAGTTTCTAGGGTCGGAAGGGACCTGAGCAGATCATCTAGTCCGCCCCCCTGCCATGGCAGGAAGAGCACTGGGGTCAAATGACCCCAGTAAGGTGGTCATCCAACCTCCTCTTAAAAACCCCCAGGGTGGGAGCCTGCACCACCTC